TGCTCCATGGGCCGGACGTCCTGACTGCTGGAAACCCAGCTTGCCTTGTCTTCACCATCCAGGACAAGGATGGCAAGGAGGTTTCCACTTTGGATTTTTCAATTCCAGCTGACCAGCAGTGACTTCTTGGTGTGCTGTGTTGAGAAGGATTCTGAGGTGCCCTGCTGGGCAGCATGCAGCAAACAATCAGGGATGCCTGTGCTGGATGTGGAACTGGGGCGCAGCAACGGTGGGGCTTTGTGTTTCGCACCCCTCAGAGAGCAGCTCCCGAAACCTCCAGGGTGGTTCTGCCGCTCCTCGGGGCTGCCGTGCAGATTCTGCCCCCAGCTTGTCAGGTGGGAACAGGCGTCTGTTGACTCACCTCCTCCCACTTCTGGTTTCACCCAACAAGGTTGTCACGCTCAGTATTACCTCCACTCTTCTTGCCCCTGAACCGCACGCTGGCTCCAAGGACAGTGACGTCCTTTCTAAGAGTGAGAGATGCCCTTGCCGGCACAGGGAGCTTCCGGGCAGCAGCAAAGGACCAGGACCTGCTGCAAGCTTGGCAGCCGGCCTCCTGGCACTGATGTCCCCACGCCCCACTTGCCCATTCTGAGAAGCTGCCAAAGGCCACCCACGTGTCCGTGACCCAGGCTCCTCCAAGGGAAGTGCCTCGGGTCATGTTTGTGTCATTGGGAACACTGTCTGAAGCTGTTAAAGGGCCAGTGAGGACTTGGGGGTGGGGACGAGGGGGACAGGGCTCAGAGAAGAGGCAGCCATGAGGCTCCCCCATGGCGTGAGCCCTGAGCATGGTGGGGAGCGGGGCACTCGGTGGGGCTGGGTGCCACAGAACCCCGAGTCCCTCATCAAGGGCCTTGGGAACATGTTCTCTCCCGATGCCTGGCCACCAGGGCACAGATGCACACTGTAGCACCAGCTCATTTTAAAGGGATGGCCGGATCCCTGGCAGGGCTTCCCTTCCTTGTTTCCCTTCCAGAAGCGGATGGGAGGGGGGCGCCAAGAGGTACAGCAGGCCCTCCAGGAAGGGCAACTCTCCTCCCTTCCACAGGCCTTCGTCTGCCCCTCCAGAAAACAAGGGGTGTCAGACCTACAGCATGGGGAGCCCCACCGCCCACTTCCACATCCAGGGCAGACATCAATAATCAATCACGCCACCCTTTCGAATCGTCAACACAGAGCCCCCAGTGGCCGGCTGCCAGGGCTTGGACTTGGCCCACGAGATGAAATCTACTCGCCATCCTGAGATTAGACGAGGTCAAAAGGTACAGATCTTTTTTTTCTTTTTTTGCCTGTCTTTCCCGATGCCGAGGCCAAGCCAGATTGTTCCGAGCCTGCCCCGTGGCAGAAACTCCACGCTCAAGGAGAAAGGTCTGCCTTGACCGGTGGGAGACGAGCCACTCAGACTGGCCGGGAGCGCCCTGGCCCCGCTCTGGTCCAGGCTCCCTAGTGGCGGTTGCACTTCTGACTCTTCCCTGTGGCCGAGCACCTCGTTCACAGGGATCTGCCGAGAGCAGGTCACGCAGCACTTGCACAAGATCCTCAAGGTCCCTGGGTTTGAAGGAGGCCGTGCTAGAAGGGTCCCTGAGCAGCTCTCAGACAGGAAAAGCAAGCCCCACTCAGAGCCCGTGTGTTCTGACCCCTCACCCAGTACCAAGTTTCTTCCCCATCCCATTTTTTTCTCTACATCACCCTGGCTTATTTCTTAGACTTGGGAAAAAAAGCAGAAAATATTACTACTCTTTCCCCTTGAAGAGGTACTTTCTGCTATTAATACAAGTTCTACTGCCAACAATAGCCAATCGTTCACTAAGTACAACGTGGAGCACTTTGCATACATTATCTTATTGAGTTCTCAGATAACCCCGTGAATTTGCAGCTGTGAGAACGGAGGCACAGAGAGGTCAAGTAGCTTGCCCAAGGTACAACAGGTATTAAGACACAGAGCCTGGGGGGCTGGCCCAGTGGCCGAGCGGTTAAGTTCGCGCACTCCGCTGCAGGCGGCCCAGTGTTTCGTTGGTTCGAATCCTGGGCGCGGACATGACACTGCTCATTAAACCACGCTGAGGCAGCGTCCCACATGCCACAACTAGAAGGACCCACAACGAAGAATATACAACTATGTACCAGGGGGCTTTGGGGAGAAAAAGGAAAAAATAAAATCTTTAAAAAAAAAAAAAAAGACACAGAGCCTGGAGTCACTCTCAGTCCGAGGAGCCGAGCTCGCTGTCCTGACACATCTCGTTCCCTTCCACTGCCCCGTCCATTCCCACACCCAGGAGGTGACCAGGACAGGGACCAGGCCTCATTTAACACAAGAGGACACTAAGGCGTAACAAGGCCAGGGACCCTGCTGCTGAGCAGGAGCTGCGCTGGAAACCGCACAGGCGGCTGGCCTGAGACCCGAGGGCCCTGGGGCCTCTCCCTGCACAGGCAGCTGGCCCAGGGAGGACTCCCAGCGTGTCCTCAGCACGGCGGCTCAAGGCCTTCCCTGCCGAACACAGACTGCTGGTTCCACCCCAGGAATCGAATTCAGCTCCCCTTCAGTGGGCATCCTGGGTGAAGGGCATAAGCGGCTACTGGCTCCAACGAGTCCTACACACACATCCCAAAGTGAGCAAGGCCATGTCCTCTCCACGGTTAATTAACACATCCACCAATGGCCAGCAGTCCTCGGCCCCGGGCAGTGAATCCTGATGGAGGGAGCTCAGACGCGGGCCCCTGAAAAGACTCTCATTCAGCACTGGGCTAAGTCACTCATGCTCGTCACCAACTATTTCTGGCTCATCTCCCTTCTGGCACACGGAGGATGGCATTTCCCGGCCTCCTGGAGGCTGGGCGGGGCATGTGACTAGTTATGGCCAATGCACAGACGCACACTTCTCACTTCGGGGTTGCAGAAGGTAATCACCAGTGTGAGTCCCCCCCAGAGCTTTCTTTCCCCTGTCACGCGGCTGGCAGCGTTCCATAGAACGGCTGCTTGGAGCCTGGGTCCAGAGCAGAGTGGAGCCCCTAACGGACCCACAGTGGACACGCAGCGTGACTAAGAAATAAACGTTTGTGGTTCTGAGCTACCGAGATCTCTTTGTACTTTTAGGATCTTTTGTTACTGTGGCATACCCCTGCCCCTCCTGACAGTTTCAGCACCTGCCTCCAGCACCTGTCAACCCTGGCTCCTAGAAACCAGCACCTTGCTAGGTACTGTGGGGTAGGTATCGGGAGCATAGAGACACAGATCTGACAAGTCTTGGAGATCTACTCTCTAGGAGCTCCCAATCTTGTGGCAGAGACAGGCATAGACAGGGTCCCTCCAATCTAAAGTAGATAAAGGGAAGTGCGCAAGGGAGAAGCAGGGTAGAAACAGACCACTTCTGACCAGAAGAGATCAAGGAAGGCTTCTGGGAGGAGGTGGCACTAGAGTTGGCCTTGCAGTATGGGCTGGAGTTGGGCATGCAGCAACGGGCAAAGGCATTCCAGGGAAAGAGAACAGCATGAGCACAGGGTAGGATGCATTGCAGAAGAGCAGACGGTACCAGAACAAAAGGTCCGGGAAGATCAGAAGTAAGAAATGGGGCTAGAAGGCTCAGGTGGTGGACGATCTGGATGCTATGGCCTTGACCTAGGCACAGCGAGGAGGCCCAAGTTTATAAGCAGAGAGCAACACAGTCAGTGTTTCTGCCAAGGCCCCTGGCAGCCCGAGAGGAGAGCAGGTGGGGGCAGGGAGACCCAAACGCATGGCTGTTACCCGGATGCTGCACTGACCCAGGTAGAGCAGCAGAGGACCAGCTGGGAGAGGGAGCAGGCAGCTGATTCCTAGTAGCTGAGAAGAGAAGGCAGCAGGACTTAAGTCAAAACTTGGGGAAACAGACACATGGGGCCCCACCCACGAGCCTCTGCGTGCCACACACAGGGTGTGACCCTAGGAGTCAGGAGGAGGTGAGCCCAGCTGGACCAGGAAGGAGAGGCGGAGGGGAGAGGTGTGGCAGTGCTTCTAAGAACATATGGAACCCGGGAAACGAGGAGGCGGCAGATGAAACCGGAAATCTGGGACCAGACCACGCAAGGCCTTGATGCCAGGCCGAGGCACGTGGACTTGACTTTAAAGACCAGGGGTTGCAAACCTGTGGCCCATGGAACAACCCTGACCCACAGACGGGTTTTGTTTGGCAGATTTCAAAAGTTGAATTAGTCACCAATATTTAAAGCCAAAAGAAGTCACATCAAAATTCGCATTTCTGGCATGCAGTGTGTCCAGAGATCTGGGCACGCTGAGCTCGTCTCCCCACCTAGTTCCCGTCGGCGGCAGCTGAGGAGGGACCTCCCCCTCCGTACGGGAGTGTGGGCTCTCCAGCTGGAAGCGGTCCCCACCAGCTGCTGTTTGGCTCATCTCTACTTATGCCAAAGAAACGTGTCTGTTGGGCCTCACGGGCATGTGAGTTTGTGAACCTGGCAGGAGGGCAGGCAGCCCCCGAGGGGGACCCCCTGGCTCAGGCTGGAAAGAGAGGGGTGAGATGATCTCGAAGAAGCTTGTTTCCACAGAGCTCCTCGGAGCCTGGCCCAGACCAGCAGAGGCAGGGGGAGGTGCCACGTGCCACTGAGCCCATCCTGACTGGGCATCTGCTCTGAGCAGGACCTGCACTGAGAGCTGCTCCCAGGAGCCCCCAGTCAAGCAGAGGAGGAAGAAATGCAGACAAGCATTTGAGATACAGAGCGATACAGGTCACGCTAGACCCACCTGGGGCATGGGAGCCCCAAGGCATGAGGGATGCGCTGGGCCTGCGGAAAGTTCCAGACATTGGACTTCAACAAAGTCTTAAAGGATCAGTAGCGCTTTGCCACGTCAGGTGGAAAGAGAAGAGCTCCAGGCTAGAACTGCGCCAGCAGAGGCAAGTCAAGAGCCTCGGTCCTTCCCTGAGGGCAGAGGGGAGCCACCGAAGGCTGGGATCCCAGGCCGCCCGCCCCACACTCCCACCTGCTCCCAGCCCTCGAGGACGGGCACTCACCAAGGGTCTGCTGGTTGCGGACGCCGCCGATCACCACGCAGATCTCGGCGGGCACGTCGCTGGTGCCATCCTTGCTGACCGCCTTCTTCTCCTCCTTGGCCTCGCCCTGCCAGATCACCTCCTGGATGTAGTCGTCGGGCAGCTCCGTCTTCACCTTCACCTCCGTCATCGTCCCCTGCTCGGCACTCAGCGAGGCCTCGGCTGGCACGGGCTCTGGCCCCTCCACCTTGGTGCTCTTCTGGCTGCGCTTCAAGCGCTCCCTGGGAAAGAAGAGAGTCTGCTCAGGGTGGACCCCATGCCTACCCAGAAACCTACCAGCCTGGGGCATCGCACGTGAACCTCACCTTGAGGGCCTCAACGTCCTGGCCCGGGGGAACCCTGGGGCTCCAAGGCACACAGTTTGAAAACCACTGGGTTAGGATGGCCCCAACCCCACCCATTTTACAGATGGAGAAGCTGGGGTCTAAAGAGGTCTACGTGTGCCAAGTAACTCTTGTAACTGGAGTCACGAGACCCACAAGGGCAGCCCTGGCTGGTGGATATCAGTTCTTAAGCTTCAGTGTGCACACAGATCAGCTGGGAATCTTGGGAAAACGTGGATTCCGGATCAGCGGGTCTGGGGTTTGGCCTGAGCTGCTGCATTTCTAACAGGCGCCCAGTCGAGCTGGTCCTCAATCTGCATTTGGAGCACGAGGGTTTGAGCAGCCTGCCGTGTGCAAAGTGTCCGGGGTTGTTCCTCTCGCTCCTTGGCAGAAGGGCCAGAGGTCTTGCCCAGCTCTCCCCGCTCCTGTTCTACAGCTGGGGTCACTGCAAGCCCCACGGCTCACCTGGCTGAGATTCATGGAGCCAACACTCGGCTCCCAACACTGGCATCTAAGTGGCTATTCAAACGTCAGAAAACATCCTCACAGTGATGAGCTCAAGACTGAGTGGGCGGGGCACACGTGACTGAACCTCCTCTATGAAGGGGACGCGAGGCCTGGAGCAGAGCTGTGACTTGCCCACAGCCACACACAAGACTGGTGGCCAGCCAAGGCTGTTCTCCTGCCAGCGTCACCCTCTGTGCTATCAAGGGCCCCCTCGTCCTTGTGGCAGGGGGCTCATCATCCTGACTCCTGTTTCTGGGGTGGGGAAGCCGAGGTGGGCGCAAACTGGGAAATCAAGGCATGTTCCAGGCCCTGGGGATTCTGCCCTGCCAGGGCCCGCCCTCTCCACTGCTCCAGAGAAGCATCTGGTCTGCGAACTTCGAGGCCCAGACCGGAGGCATATTCCGACGAGGCCTGCCAGCACACCAACCGGGGCTCAGGGGAGGCACCCGGGCTGGGGGGGTGGGGGGGCGGTGGGGCAGGGACCTGGGTTCTGATCCTGGACCTGCAGCGGATTGCTGTGTCACTTTGCACAAGACCCCTCTTCCCTCTGGGCTCCAGCAGCTCCATCTATCAGAAGAGAATGGATTTTCTCAAGTCCGCTGTCTGCCCCAGCTGTCAGCTTTCTCCCAGGTCGGGGAATTGAGCAGAGAGAGAGGGAAGGCCCCAGCCAACGAGCAGGGGGCAGAGAAAGGCCACCGGGGAGGTTGTGGACTGAATTTTGTCCTCGTCCAAACTCAGACGGTCAACTCCTGATCCCTAAGGTGACTGTAGTTGGAGACAGGGTCCTCAGGACGTAATTAAGGTGACATAAGACCATAAGGGTGGGGCCCTAATCTGATGGGACTGCAGCCTTAGAAGAAGATGAAGAGAGAGATCTCTCTCTCTCTGGGTCTCTCCTCACCACGTGAGGACACAGAGAGAAGGCGGGCAGCCGTCTACAAGCCAGGAAGAGGATCCTCACCAGAACCCAACCACGCTGGCACTCTGGGCTCAGACCTCCAGCCTCCAGAACCGTGAGAAAATAAAATTCTGTTGTTTAAGCTCCCAGCCCACAGCATTTTGTTCTGGCAGCTCAAGGTGCCCAAGCTAACTGAAACTCAGGACTCAGACGGACAGAACAGGAGGAAGCAGCACAGCCAGCCGCAAGGGCCGTCGAGTCAGCTCCTTCCTTGCTGTGTGACTTGCAGCTAGGCTACCGAACCTCTGAGCCTCAGTTTTCCCATCTGCAAAACGGAGCGAACAGGGGGGTCGTGCGGATTTTAATCAACTAACGCATGGGAAGTGCCCGGCCTGTATCAGCTCTCAAGATGTTATTAATAGTAACCAACTGTTGGAGCGTCTTGCGCACCCAGTGGGCCCAGTGACACCTCCTCCTAGTGTGTCTGCCACGTCAGGGCCACCGTCTGTCACTGTGGGAAATGTAACACTGGATGTTCGATAGCCTCAGCGTTCATTTCTTTTCTTTACTTAAGAAACATTTCGGGGCCGGCCTCGTGGTGAGTGGTTAAGTGCGCACGCTCTGCTTTGTCAGCCCGGGGTTCACCAGTGGGGATCCTGGGCGTGGACCTACACAACGCTCATCAGTCCATGCTGTGGCGACATCCCACAAAGAACTAGAAGGAACTACAACTAGGATATACAACTGTGTACTGGGGCTTTGGGGAGAAAAAAAGAAGAAAGGAGGAGGATTGGCAACAGCTGTTAGCTCAGGGCCAATCTTCCTCACCAAACAAACAAACACTTAGAGTTCCCTTTGTGCCGGGCACTGTTCTGACCCACTGACTCCTTTCATTTTCAGTAACAACGCTGTGAGGGAAGTCCTGGTATTATCTCCATTTTACGGATGGGTAAACTGAGGCACTGAGAGGTGAAAGAATTTGTCCAAGGTTCACCTGGGTAGTAAGAAGTGGAACCAAGATTTGACGCAGGCATCCCGGCTCTTAGCCATGCTGCACGGAGAGCAGGAGAGAAGCTCTGAGAGCGAAGCTTCCCCATTCGCACTCATCTCCCCTCCCCTTCTACTGACCTTCAGCATCCAGAACAGGGGGAAAACCAGGATGCTAGTGGGTGAGCAGGAAGACGGGAGGCTGCCTGGATTTCTGGCTGCTGCCACCTCCATGGGGGGTGCTTTGAGGCAGAGCCACCTGGTGAGGTCCAGCACTCCCCTGGGAGGGGAGCATGCCTACCCCATTCCTGCAAAAAATCCTCTAAGCTCGGGGAGGCCCCAGGAGCATCACCAGGGCGAGCAGGTCTGATAAGTTCCGAGGGACGGCTATGGCTTTGGGGAGGGAGGATATTCCTGCCAGGCAGCCAGCAATAGACGGGGACGCACTGGGGTGGGGAGCTCCCCGGCACCGAGGGGCAGAGGCTGGCGGACGGCCCGGCAAGAACGGGATGAGATGAAGGGAGATGGAAAGAGCACCAGGTTTTGAAGTTGGGTCACCCCAGGGCCAGATCTCAGAACTGCCACTCTCAAGTTGTGGGTTCACCCATCCAAGCCTCAGTCTTCACACCCATATGATGGGGAGAAGCACAGCTCCCACCCCACAGCGCTGTGATGCAGAGACAATGCACTGTCTGCAAGGGCCCTAGGACAGTGGCCCCAGTGGCGATGTTCCACAGTACCCCCTGTCTTGTGGGGGGTCGGGGGCAGGGGAGGGGCGTGTGCAGAGGTTGCAAGGAAGGGTCTTACATGGTGCAGACTTCAGTGCACGGGCTGCGGAGTTAAAGCAACAGGAGTTCAAATCCCAGCTCTACACAACTTCCCAGCTGGTGACGCTGAGTGAGCCCCTGACCCTCTCTGAGCCTGTTTCTGTATCCATGAAGCAGGGACGCCCCCCCCCCCCCCCCATCTACTCAAAAGGCCTCCTGAGGATCAACTGCAAAAATGTAAATCCAGGGGCCGGCCCGGTGGCGCAGCAGTTAAGTGTGCACGTTCTGCTTTGGCGGCCCAGGGTTCGCCGGTTCGAATCCCGGGTGTGGACATGGCACCGCTTGGCATGCCATGCTGTGGTAGGCGTTCCACATATAAAGTAGAGGAAGATGGGCACAGATGTTAGCTCAGGGCCAGTCTTCCTCAGCAAAAAGAGGAGGATTGGTGGCAGCAGTTAGCTCAGGGCTAATCTTCCTCAAAAAAAAAAAAAAAGTAAATCCAGAACCTTGTCTAGAGTGACTCACAGAGATGATCACACTGATGGAAATGGGTGACAGAGCTGCTGAAATGACTATGCCCTAGCTGAGACCACATGGGCGTGGATGGTCAGCCAGCCCTGCCTGTCCTGAGGCTCGCCGGACACAGAGACGCAAGTCAGGGCCCCGGCCAACCCTCAATGCCAGCCCCACAAGAACACAGTCCGCAAGTCCCGGGCCAGGGCAGGCAGACAGGCAGCTGAGGACTCGCCCGGGCTTGGCCCTGGCTGGTCCCAACCCCGGGTGCCCGAAGGGTTAAACCCAAGCACAGAGCAGATGTGCCTCCCAGGGCCAGTGAAGAGGCCCAGCGGAGCGGAGCTGACCAACCTGCCAGTGTTCTCCCCACAGCTGGGGCCACGGGAAGGGAAGGGCACAGAACGAGCCCGCGCCCTGAACACCCGCACCCACTGTCTTCGCTGCCGAGGTTCTGAAGCTCAGCCTGACGCTGTGAGCACTTCTCACCCCGTCTGAACAGGCTCAGTGTCCCTTCCTGCTCTCAAGGACCTCACTGGCATCGTGGTGTCCTGGTGGGAGAGAGGAGCTGCTGGAGTCAGACAGGCTGGGCGTCCACACACCCTGCAGCCTCAGGCAAGAGTTCCTTACCCCCGTCTCTGGGCCTCAGTTTCCTTGTCTGTTAAAGGGGGACCATGATCCTTGCCAGTGCAGGGCTGGGAAAGGGGTCAGGGAGATGGCATAGAATGGATTTCAATGGATGGCAGCTGCACTTAGGAGGATCACATCGGTTCACAACAACAGCCCCGCCTCTGGGAAGCCTTCCCTCCCTGCTCGAGATGGAGTCAGACCTCCCTCTAAATGCCTCGTCTGCCTCCCCAGGGGACACTTAAGGGTGTCCTCCCACTGCCTTGTAAGGAACTCATCTTTCCGACCTCCCAGCCTAGCTCCCAGCTCATCATCTTCTTTTACTTCCTTAGCAGCCTTGGTTGCCATCTGAAAATATGTCGTCCATTTACTGACTCACCAAATGGTACAGGCCTTAAGAGCAGGCGTGCACGGCTGCGCTGCCGGCACCCAGTCGGCACACAGTAGTTGCTCAGTGAATACTGCGTTTGCTGAGCAGTCAGAAGAGGACCCGCCTCCTGGTGAGGGAGCGCTGGGACTCATGCCTCCTGGGCATCCTCAGGGTGAGTTTGCAGGATGGCTGGTCCATCCATTTGCAACAGGCCTGGGCGTAACTGCATCAG